GTCCCAGGGTCTAGCTCGCTGGTCTTCGGTCTTCAACTGGTTCTTCTTCTTGACCCATTCCCAACTCTCGATTCCAAGCTCCCGCCTTTTATACGATTTCCCACCGAGGGGCGGGGGTTCTGTGGGATCCCAGCACCACATCCCCTTCCCCTCATGAAGGGCGGGTTCTGTGGGATCGTAGCACCACATCCCCCTCCCCTCGATAGGGGCCCCAGCTAGGGGTGTGTCACAACCGCCCCGCACAGGTAAGTAATGGGAGTTAACCGGCGTTGGTGTGCGCGCCTTCCAATACCACCACCACACTTGCATTAGAATATATAGAGCAGTTCATATTTTGATGGTATCATGTGGTAATGCTCCATCACATGTTTTAAATCTATTACACAGTGAATATTGAACTGAAGCTCAACTTTAAAAAATGTAATTGCAAATCAAATCGCAATTGTAATATCTGTCAGAAACATCGCAATTAGATATTTTCCTCAAATCGTTCAGCCCTATTCCACGGTGATCTGGACTTCCACGGCAAACTGGACTCCCACGGTAAACTGGACTCCCATGGTGAACTGGACTTACATGGTCAACTGGACTTACATGGTGAACTGGACTTCTATGGTAAATGGGGTTCCATGGTGAATTGGACTTCCATGGTAAACTGCACTTACATGGTAAACTGGACTCCCAGGTTGAACTGGACTCCCATAGTTAAGTCATTTTCCACAGTAAACTGGACTTATATGGTCAGGGGTCGGCAAACCAAAATAACAAGAGCCATTTTTTTTCGAATTTCAAGAGCCACACTGCAGTCCTTAAAGAGCCACTGCATGTGGCTTCGGAGCCACAGGTTGCTGACCCTGGTCTAGACATACTCACACAAGAACCACTGCTATTCGCCACTGAGTTGCGGTGACATTGCCAGGTTTATACACGCAATTATACAAAGACAGCGATCCCCGTATAACCTTTACAGACTGTTGGAGCAAATGTTTTTTAGCGAGCACCTATGAAGGCCTGAACGGCACACGAGGTGGTGGGAGGCCAACACCACGCGCGGCCACCTTTGTCTCCCCAGTGGCGATATTTACACACCGCACCAAGTACTCATTTGAGGCCGACTCGACCTAGGGGAGGCCCAGGATAATCGTCACTGGTGTTGGCCGTGCGTCAGGCGGTCGACGAGATGTTGGCCGCCGATATCATTTCTCCATCTAACAGTCCGTGGGGTGCTCCTATAGTTATTGTCAATAAGCAAGATGGGAGTCTGCGGTTTTGCGTTGACTTCCGCAAACTAAATAAAATCTCTGTGGCTGACGCGTACCCTCTCCCGTGAATGGATGACTCGTTAGATGCTTTGGCAGGGGCGAGTTATTTTTCCACTCTTGACCTGCTGTCGGGGTTCTGGCAATTGCCTCTGGATGACAGCTCTAAACCCAAAACCGCTTTTCATACACAAGGGTTATTTGAATTTAACCGGATCCCTATTGGCCTTCACTTGGCTCCAGCGATGCTCCAGAGGCTCATGGAGCTGGTTTTGGTGGGCCTCCAGTGGGACTCTTGTTTAATCTATTTGGACGACGTGATTGTTTTTAGTCGTACGTTCGAGGAGCATTTGAGACGGTTACTCGCGGCTTTTCTTAAAACGCGGGCGGCGAACCTCAAATTCAAGCCACAGAAATGCCAAAATTCGGTTTGATACCTGGGGCACATCGTTAGCAAGTCGGGAATAGCTATGGACCCGGATAACACTACGTGCGTGCGCACATGGCCAACCCCCAAGTCGGTGGGTGAGGTATGCAGCTTTATCCGGTTCGCATCCTACTACCGCTGCTTCGTGCCCGGGTTCGCCATCATCACGAAACCTCTCTATGCCTTGACGGCCAAAGGTCAAACATTTCGATGGGGGGAGGAGGAGGCCGTGTTTGTCACGCTCCGGGACAGCCTGGTGGATGCCCCTCCACTCCGATACCCCAATTTTTTACTGCCCTTCGTCCTGGACACGGACGCCAGCAACACTGGCATTGGCGCCGTGTTGTCCCAGGTGGTGGACGGAGTGGAAAGTGTCGTGGCATACAGCAGGAGAGAGTTGACCCCGGCTGAGCAGCGCTACTGCGTTACGCGCGGAGAATTGCTGGCCATTGTTTTTTTGTACAGCAATATTGGCCGTACCTCTATGGCAGGAGCTTTGAGGTGCGCACTAATCACGCCGCCCTCCAGTACGCGCTGCGCATTTAACAACCATCCGGCCAGCTATCCCGATGGCTGGAAGTCTTACGGTAAGAACTTTTAAACAAAAGTTCTTACAAGTTCTTACCGTAAGGGTGCGCGGCACACGAATACGGACACACTGTCATGATTACCACCAAGCGACGAGTGCGCATGCCTCTCTGGTTCGGGGTGCTGTAAGCCAGCTGCCGAGGCAGTGCCCCCTTCTATTGTGGCTTCGGCGAAGGTTCCAACCCCTGATATTCCCGAGGGTCTGGATGCGTGTGATGGCACCCTCGGTCTGAACCACGTGGAGTGTGGACGCCTCCAGGCAGAGGATGCCTCTTTATTCAAACTGCGGCGTAGTGTCAGGGACGCTGGGGATAAGGCGAACCGATTTAGAGAAGCCCATGTCATCTTCAAAGGGGGTCTGTTAATGTACTCGGACGGCGGGTTACGCCGCTACAGCATGGTGGTGCCCACTGTCCTAAAGGGTAAGATCATCTGGGCGGTGCATGAGCGGCTGATGCACCTTGGGGTGCACAAAACACTTGCAACCCTCCCAATCCGTCGGCTGTGGTTATCGCCGAGACGTTCCTCCACAGTTACATGTTGCACAAGGGGGCCCCGGGAGCGCCTCCTCACTGATCAGGGCAAAAATGTATCCTCTAAATTGTTGAAGGAGGTGTGTGACTTGTTGGGCGCAAAAAAAGTTCAGATGTCGCCCTATCATCCCAAAACGGATGGGATAGTGGAACGACTGCACAGGACTCTGACATTCCATGTTAAGTCAACAGGTCAGCGAGTCCCAAGGCGACTGGCACTTACATGTCCCCGGGGTTCTCGCAGCCTACAGAATGGCCCCTCACGCTTCCACTGGGTACTTGCCGTTTTTTTATGTATGGGAGGGAGCAGGACCCCCCAATTGATGTCCAACTAAACACGGGCCCAAGAAAAGTAAATGTTAATATGCCTGCGCCCATGCGCCTTACCCTTCAATGGGTGTCAGAGGCACGGGAGGCGTCCAGGGAAAATTCCGCCTTACGGCAGTCGGCCAAAGAGCAGCTAAGGGGGCTTCGTCTATCAGGCAAGACATGGGCTCCGGGTGACAAGGCTTTGCTGCACTACTCCCAATTGGTACATACCCCAAATTGTACAAACCTTGGCGAGGGCCGGTCGACGTGATTCAGGCCAAAAGGCCACAATGTGTGAAAATTCGGTTCGGTCGCCGGTGTTGGTTTGTACACCCGTCATGCCTTAAGCCTTTTGTTGCTCCCTCTGAAATCCCTACAGCTCCATTGCACAAGGGCCGAGTTTCGGGTGTGCCCGGCAAGTTGGGGTGCGCATCTGCTGAGGTGGGTCCTCAGGGGAGTTCTGCGATTCTGCCCACAGGATCGAAGTGCTTGATACCCCCGACGTCGCCAGCTACACTGATCCCGGACGGTCCCGGACGGTCGGCGGAAGGCGGAACGACCATCTCCCATCCGTTCTCCGCCCGTCGGTGCAGATCCTCGGGAGGGGCAACGCCCGTTAGGCCATCTTCACGTTCCCCCGGGACCTCCAGGAAGCTCATGCCCACCTCACCAGGGGGCCCAGCTACAAGGACTCATTCAAGAACTGCCCGGTTGAAGTGACTCCCCTCCACCGTACATTGTTCCTGCACCGTTTTGCTGCTTGTCTCACTCCTTAGACGGTTGGGTCATTGGCTGAACCTGGCCCTTCTCGTGCTTAGGGGTGCTGTCACACACACAGGGTAAGGGACGTGCTTTTGGGGTGGCGGGGGGGTAACCGGGGTTGTGTACAATGCTTTTTTTGTGTTGTTGTCCTCTCTCTCCTCCATCTCTCTTCCCCCTTCTCAGTAACTGCACATTTTGTATATATTGTATTTATTGCACGGTCGCCGGTTATTTATTGATACTCTTCATCATCAGGTGATGGACGCTTGTGTTGTGCCCAGAACGTCGTGATTTATTTTATTTTATACCTACGTGACTTTACCGAGAGAACCAAAGAGTATGGATTCCTGCAGTCACGAAAGCTTCAAATCAAGATTTATTTCTTGATGTTAATGTTTAGGAGGCACACCCTTGTGTTCGGGTTTGTTGACAGCTGGGATGGCTGTGTTTTACAAGGGGGGTGGGGGGGGGGTGTGATGTAGTGTCATATATGATGTCACTATAGTGTAGCGACAGTACCGAGTGAGTGGTATTGTATGTGCGGAGCCTCTCCCTGGGACCTGAGTGAGTATACCAGGCAAAAGGTCGGGGTGAGGTCATGATAGGCTGGGTGAACCCGAGGGGGCACATGACCGGATGAGGTGGTAGCGAGGACCAGGGAGGAGGTGAGAGGAACACGTGATGTGGGTCCTGAGTCACCGAGAAGGAACTGGAAAAGGGGCGTGACCAAGGGCGGGGCCTGGCCACGCCGCAGCAGATAAAAGCCGAGTCCTGGCGGTGATCGTGGTTGTTCATCTCTGGGAAGAAATCCTCCGTCTTCGTGGGTCCTGGGTCTCCGGTCTTAACGCACGTGGACCAGGCAGCGTGTTGGCTGTCCTGGTCCGATTTAGTAGTTATCCCATCCAGTATGTAAATAGTCACCTGTGGTGTTCACCCCTCCAATTGTATAGTTACTCATGGTGGTCACCACCCTTAGTCATTATCCAGTTAATTAAAGAGTTACCTGTTGGAGTTAGTGAATAAACGTGTTGCCTCCAAGATCGTGTGTGCCTCAATTGAACCCACTACACACATATACACACGCACACAAAACATATACAAATATATATAGTCACAACGTACCTGATGTGCTCGGTCATAGGTCGGGACATTTAGGGTGTTGAACTCGGGTATGCCTAGGGATCAACAGCAGAAAAAGCGGTCTTACTATATTATCAAGTACATATTACTTTAACAGCAATACAAGTAATCGACATTGCAATCAACTTTATATTTCTGAAAAATAGCTAAAATATGGTGCCTGTAGGATTATTAGAATTTACAGGTTCATGCTTGAAGCTGAAGGACAAGAGCAATGCAAATCTTATCCACAGATGAGATCAAAATAAATGTATTTCTTGTTCAAATTAGCCTGGGAGCGGCTTTAATAGGTGAAACTGAAAAGTACAAAATGTTGTTTGTGTGATTTCCATATAATTAGTTTCGTCTATTTACGAGCTTGTCACTAATTACATCCTAAATGTATCGGAGCAAACAATATTGAGATCCTGGGTTTGAATCAGGGATTCAGCCACCCATGATTAAACCCCACAAGTAAATGTAGTTTTGTTGGTGTTTTCAGCCTAGCCACCAATGACTGCATTAAAAAAAGCATCCTATAAGATTAATTCTAACTATTTCAGAATAGTGTCGCTTGAAGTAAAATCCCTCAACTAATAGGCATATTGGATGACTTGCACAATGTAAATCTGCTCTTCACACTCCTTAATGGAGCACTACCAAGTGCTGAATTAGAGAGGCTACTGCAGTGGCTCATGTTGAGGTGGATCTGCAGTGTCACCATGAATCACATTTACAGGAACTCCTCCACTTACGAACATTCAACTTATAAACTTTCAGAGATACAAACAAATCAGTCCGTATGTCCAGTTGCCTGTTCGGACTGAGAATCGTAAGTTCAACTGCTGTGCAATAGATGGCGGTGGTGGAATTTAAATCTGCAGAACATAAAGAACCGGTGGCATCTACGTCTACAGGAGATTCTACAACTTTTAAACCCATTCCCTGTGTTTAGTTTACATACCGTACATCATGTTTGGAATCGATAGGAGTAAAGTTAGATGAACAACTTACGAACAGACCTCTGGAACCTAACTCGTTCATAAGCAGAGTCGTCCCTGTAATGCACCTGCAGTATTAATCAGGGTGGCCCGTTGGAATTGAACCCGTGAACCTCTGCTTTAAGCAAACAACAAAGTCACTGCCCCATGTACAAGCAGATCTCGCTTAGCGCTCAGGATGTGTTCTTTGAGAAGTGAGCGCGAATCGAATCAGTGCTAAAATGGGTAATTTTACAACTGGATACTACATGGAGATGCATTCTTGACGGCGTTATTTCTTACATATGAGCAATGAGGGCTTCATTAGTTTATCGGTAATAGCGATAATAATACAAACGGTATATATTATTCCGTAAATAAAAATAATATTGTTTGTATTATATTAGTATTATGTACTGGACTCACAAGTGCATTCTACTGTACTCCTAAATTGCAGCGGTGGGAGACGGGAAGATGGAGTATATTTTAAAAAATAACTGGCGTGCGCAGCATGACTCAGAATGTACTGTAATAACACTGAATAACAAAGACATTTTGAAAAATGTAATTGTGACCACGAATCGTGATAATCAAATCGTGGAGGGTGGTGTCCCGGTTGGCTCAAAGCGTACGTTGCTCTACATTGGCTGAGCAAATGTAAACAAATATGGCTGCGGGTGCAGTTCCTCGGCGCTGCTCGTTTTCACTCGAAAGCGATTTCAATTTATTGTATAATTTTTTTCTGTTAAAAATTTCCTCCAAGAAAAAAGAGCACTATCATGAATCAGCGTTCTATGGGGTTGTGCTAATCGAGGTCTGCCTTTATTAACTCCAATTATTTTTTTAAATCACATTTCGGATGGATTTCATGATGCATGTGATGTAATTCATAACGTTTTGGATGCATTTGATGAAAAGGACAGAATACTAAAGGTCAGGGTTAAGTTACTGGTGTCATTGAAGGGGATGTGCTCCTGGATGATGACGGTGGCTTCCTCCAGACGCCCACCCAGGTCAACGCGGACCTCCTGCAGTTGCTGCTGACTGCACATGCACACAACAACAACGACCATTTCCTATTAAAGGGAGTGCTCCTAATCTCAGCTTGTTACCTGTATAAAAGGCACTGTCCACAGAAGCAATCAATCAGATTCCAAACTCTCCACCATGGCCAAGACCAAAGAGCTCTCCAAGGATGTCAGGGACAAGATTGTAGACCTACACAAGGCTGGAATGGGCTACAAGACCATTGCCAAGCATCTTGGTGAGAAGGTGACAACAGTTGGTGCGATTCTTCGCAAATGGAAGAAACACAAAAGAACTGTCAATCTCCCTCGGCCTGGGGCTCCATGCAAGATCTCACCTCGTGGAGTTGCAATGATCATGAGAACGGTGAGGAATCAGCCCAGAACTACACGGGAGGATCTTGTCAATGATCTCAAGGCAGCTGGGACCATAGTCACCAAGAAAACAATTGGTAAAACTATGCCGTGAAGGACTGAAATCCTACAGCGCCCGCAAGGTCCCCCTGCTCAACAAAGCACATATACATGCCCGTCTGAAGTTTGCCAATGAACATCTGAATGATTCAGAGGACAACTGGGTGAAAGTGTTGTGGTCAGATGAGACCAAAATGGAGCTCTTTGGCATCAACTCAACTCGCCGTGTTTGGAGGAAGAGGAATTCTGCCTATGACCCCAAGAACACCATCCCCACCGTCAAACATGGAGGTGGAAACATTATGCATAGGGGGTCTTTTTCTGCTGAGGGGACAGGACAACTTCACCGCAACAAACGGACGATGGACGGGGCCATGTACCGTCAAATCTTGGGTGAGAACCTCCTTCCCTCAGCCAGGGCATTGAAAATGAGTCATGCATGGGCATTCCAGCCTGACAATGACCCAAAACACACGGCCAAGGCAACAAAGGAGTGGCTCAAGAAGAAGCACATTAAGGTCCTGGAGTAGCCTAGCCAGTCTCCAGACCTCAATCCCATAGAAAATCTTTGGAGGGAGCTGAAGGTTCAAGTTGCCAAACGTCAGCCTCGAAACCTTAATGACTTGGAGAAGATCTGCAAAGAGGAGTGGGACAAAATCCCTCCTGAGATGTGTGCAAACCTGGTGGCCAATTACAAGACACGTCTGACCTCTGTGATTGCCATCAAGGGTTTTGCCACCAAGTACTAAGTCATGTTTTGCAGAGGGGTCAAATACTTATTTCCCTCATTAAAATGCAAATCAATTAATAACATTTTTGACATGCGTTTTTCTGGATTTTGTTGTTATTCTGTCTCTCACTGTTCAAATAAAACTACCATTAAAATCATAGACTGATCATTTCTTTGTCAGTGGGCAAACGTTCAAAATCAGCAGGGGATCAAATACTTTTTTCCCTCACTGTACATGGTCAAAGAAGGCATGTACGAAAGAAGTTCAACATACATACATACAAAGATAGTGTGGAGAAGGAGGACATCACTGTCACACCCCAAGGTGAACAATAAATTACACTATGTAACACGATTTTTGTTCCTGGGTAGTAAGTGTTATTTTCCAATTGCTTATGCCTCAAAAGTATAGAAAATGGATATTATTCCCCACAAACTTTGCTTTGTGACCAGGACTATGTGAAGGAATGACACAAATACACACGTTTTCTCATTGAAAATAGGTAAATTTCAAAATATCACTGTCCTAAATTTTGGTTTAAAGCTTTCGTGACTGCAGGAATTCATATTCTTCGTTCTTTCGGTAAAGTCACGTAGAAGGAAAACAAAATAATAAAAATATAAAACAATACAATTTTATTGTTTTATATTTTTATTATTTTATTGTTTTATATTTTTATTATTTTATTGTTTCCCTTCTACGTGACTTTACCGAAAGAGCCCAAGAATATCACTGTCCTGGTCACAAAATCAAATTTTTTGGGGAAAAATAGCCATTTTCTGTAATTTTGAGGCATAAGCAATTATAAAATAGCACTTACTACCCAGGAACAAAAACATATGTTTGTCACACAGTGTTATTCAGACTCAAACCAATGTAGTTTCACCCAGGCCAGCCCACCATCATGAAGGTCCTTCATGATTGCGAGCATGGTCAAGGATCCTGAAAGCACGAAGAAAAACCCAAAGCCCTGACCTATTGATGGTATGACAGGCCTTGACCAAATCAATAAAGAAAAGATGTAGCTCCCTACACCTCTTCTGTAGAGAGAGATGAAGATAATGCCCTGCATGCAGGACCAACCTCGCCTCTCCTCAGCATGTCTGGCAAGGAAATGTTGAATAAACTTTGCCAGGACCTTTCTTGGCATAATGGGGAAGGAGATGCCCCTGGTAGTTGTTAGAATCAGTGTGGTCTCCATTTTTTTAAACTGGGAACCACCAAGGCACCCATCCTGTGGATCAAACAGTTGTACTGATGTCATATAGGGCAGTCAGCACAAAAACGGCACCCTTGCTTTGCAGTTTTCTTGAGAGATCATCCCTGCCTAGCACTTTAGCTGGTAATAGGCTCTGGATCGCTCTTCGAACTCCCGCATCAGATGGCACATAACTCGTACACAGAGAGCAGCTACTTCCTATAATATTGGAGGCACCTTGCCCCATGATGTTATTTGAGCCGAGGGGTTTCCCTTCCCCCAATACCTAAAAAATGTTCAGTAACCTGCAAGCCTGTTCCTTGGTGTCAGAGATATGATCACAATTATATCCCTAAGGTAACTCGTGTGGTGCAACAAGTTACTTTATGGAATTAAAGAGTGATATGTGAATGTGCACTACTGAGGCAGTTTCCATCTCAGCAACCTACAACCACCACCCATCCTTGCAGCGCTGTACGGCTTTATGAACCTCTGAGCGAAGGCTGCGGTAAGCCTCCTCATTCTCCGACGTGGGATGCTGTAGCCGATGAGAGTGGGCCTGTCGCTTTTTCTCAGCCAGGCTGAACACCTCCTCTGTCAGCCAGGGTCTCTGGGGAGGTCTGGACTGTGTACCCAAAGTAGCCATTGCAGCTGCATGAGCCACAGTCCTAAACCTCGCCCATTTCCCCTCGACATCAGGAGGAGTGGGGGACGATGCCAACCCAAACTGCAAGTGATGATGAAATTCTCGCTTGCAACTTTCATCAGCTAGTTGAGACCATGCCACTAAGGGTTTGAATGGGGTCCTGGATGTACACCCACCACCGGAGTGGAAGAATGGCAGGCGCATCTTACAGATGACAAGTCGATGGTCAGTGGGCAGATCAGCTCCACGGGAGGTCCTGGTGTCAAGGACATGGGCCCGCATCCGCTGTTCCGTCACGATGTAGTCCAGCAGATGTTCTTGCCTGGACCCGGCATGCATCCATGATGTGGTGTGGAAGCCCATGGGCTGCACAAAAATCTAGCAGCCTCCTGCCGTTGTTACTGAGCTGATGTGGCCCATGCCTTCCAATTACTCCAGACCAGGTGCCAGCATCATGACCAACTCGGGCATTGAAGTCACCCAACAAGATGACTCTATCCAGAGGGGCCACTTTAGCTAGCACCTGTGACAGGAGGTCATAGAAGGCATCTGACTCATCGGCTTTGCCTGCATCCCTCCACAGATGTTCGTCTTCAGTGGGGGCATAAGTAACCACGACCACCACTCCTCGCCTCTGGTTGATGGGAAGGCGAGCCCAAAGTAGCCTGGGGCTTACAACTTTCCACGCCTCACCGCCACATTACCACGCTCCCTTCATTCTTTTATTCAGAAGAAGAGCCACACCCTGTTGTTTGGCAGTCTCCTGCCCCGAGTAGAGGACTGTCCACCCCTCATGGTGACAGGAGCCAGAGCTGGTCCACCGGACCTCCTGAATACCAAAGAGATCCAGGCGGTACCGGTTCAGCTCCCGACAGAGGAGTGGCAGCCTCTCCTCCGCAGTACGCGTTCGAACATTCCACGTGGCCACACGTAGTGGTTTCTTGTTGTTTATGGAGGAGCCCCGAGGGTAAAGATTCAGTCCCCTTGCTCCAGCAAATGGGGTTTGAACAGGATACGTCATAGACGGATGTCCCGCCGGGGCCTCCGGCACAAGCTTATTCATTAGATATTTTCGACGTGGTTTAGTGGCAATTAATTGAAGGTGGAGGGGTTACCAGCCCCTCGCACCCATCCAGAGCCCCCATTTAGCCGCTGTGGTGGTTACAAATGTCATGAGGGGAAAGGCCAATTGGAATTGGCCCTCCCCCCACGGCACTGCCCACGACAGCGTTGCCTGTCCGGCACCACAAGGAGGTAGGGCGTTGTTTCGCTCACTCACACAGGTACACACATACATTCGGATTCATACAAAGTTACATACACACAGCTATACACACACACACGAGGGTACATAAACATATGCCCTTAACAGGTATCCATACATAAATATGTGCATAAATAGACAATGTGCATGCAGATCCACAATAAGGTTTGGTCCCATTTATATGGCTGAAGCAAAGCTGCTCAAGCACGCGGCTACATGTGGTGATTCATGACCTGCCAAAGTGGCTAAATGACCGACCCACTTAGTCACACACAGGCACGCTCGGAGGGGCACACACGTAGACAGATACACACACACAGAAGGGCACACACAGGCACACATAGGGGTACGTACAGAGGAGAAAGCACGCAGAGGGGAACACACTTATGTGCTAACGTGTGTTTGCAGCTCACCATTCATAATAAACGTTTTTGAGTTAGATCGTGTAATTTAGAAATGTGTCGTAACCCTCCACCACCTGACACAGCCAATCAGCAAAAAAAGTGTCACGTTGACAAAAGACAAATAGTTCACTACTTTAGCCCACCGGTGTGTTGAAGAGTGAATCCACAACATTTACAGTTTTTGAGTACGACGTTTCTGGCGAATTGCCCAATGATGCTGGATGTAATTACCAGCGAAACGTCGTACTCAAAAACTGTAAATGTTGCGGATTCACTCTTCAACACACCGGTGGGCTAAAGTAGTGAACTATTTGTCTTTTTTTGATTTAAAGCTTTCGTGACTGCAGTAATTCATATTCTTAGTTTTTTCGGTAAAGTCACGTTGAAGAGAAACAACAAAATAACAAAATATATATAAAACAATAAAAAATTCTCACGACGTTTCGACCATAACTCAAACGGTCATCATCAGGTGTGTCGGTTTGCATAAATTTATTTTGAAAACGGCATATTTATTTATATATATAAAAATAACGTTTGCGTCACGCGCAACGATGGCAGTTTGCCAGGACTAGTCCATCTATTTTTTTGAAAAGAGGAGGGGGGAGACGAAATTTGTTTTTATGTATGCTGTCTGAAAGGCACTGTAAGCGTGAACAATCAATCAAGAACTGAAATGATTTATCAAATCTTTCCAATGATTGCTAAGATAGAATCCATCTTCTCGGTTGAAATTGTCTCTGTGTTTGTATATGTGGATAGCCTCATGAACGAATCTCTCATGGAAGCCAGATGGCTTACAAGAGAGATTCGTTCATGAGGCTATCCACATATACAAACACAGAGACAATTTCAACCGAGAAGATGGATTCTATCTTAGCAATCATTGGAAAGATTTGATAAATCATTTCAGTTCTTGATTGATTGTTCACGCTTACAGTGCCTTTCAGACAGCATACATAAAAACAAATTTCGTCTCCCCCCTCCTCTTTTCAAAAAAATAGATGGACTAGTCCTGGCAAACTGCCATCGTTGCGCGTGACGCAAACGTTATTTTTATATATATAAATAAATATGCCGTTTTCAAAATAAATTTATGCAAACCGACACACCTGATGATGACCGTTTGAGTTATGGTCGAAACGTCGTGAGAATTTTTTATTGTTTTATATATATTTTGTTATTTTGTTGTTTCTCTTCAACGTGACTTTACCGAAAAAACTAAGAATATATTTGTCTTTTGTCAACGTGACACTTTTTTTGCTGATTGGCCGTGTCGGGTGGTGGAGGGTTACGACAGATTTAGAAAAAACGCGATCTAACCCAAAAACGTTTATTATTAATAATATTGGTCGCGAAAGCCTACGTGTTAAGCTCACCATTCCTCTGCACGCAGTCGACATTCCTTGGCTTCCCTCTCCAGAGCCTGCACTTTCACCTGTGATACCACGCGCAACAAAGAACGACCTATAAGAATAATGCCAAATAACAAACGCACAAAATTATTAAAAAAATTGTCAACAAGCAGTATTCAAGCACAAAGTATTATCTGTAATAATGTGGGTACTGCAATCGATGAATAGCCAACATTACAAATTATGGATATCATGAAATAATTCAAAAGTCACTATCTATTTAACACTAGATACGAGGAAGGCTTCCTTCATCTGTTTGTGCTCGTACACAGGTACTATGACGTAGAGGTTCCCTACAAAACACTGGGAAACTGTCTGTGACACATTCACACTATAAGCATAATTGGCTACGTGCGGTGGGAAGTGAGTGCAATACACATTCTTAAATAACGTTTTAATTCAGATGCTCAACTGCATCTGTAATTATCCATGGAATTAGCCACTCAGTTACTCTTAACCCAAGAAACAATGTTGGCAAGCTCTTAACAAATTCCATGTCCATTCTTTAACTTATCCAAATTTCCAACAGGAAGATAATGGTTTTAACACGTAGGCTTTCACGACCAATATCATCCGTAATACAGGCTTTTTTGGGTTAGACCACGTAAATATCTGTCGTTAAACCCACCACCACCCATCACAGCCAATTAGTAAGGTTTGTCACATAAACAGAACATGCCAATTCATTATTAGTACTGCACACCGGGGTGTTGAAGAGCTGTTAAAGCAGCGCTGCAACTGAATGGCTATAATGATGCACAAATCAACAGGGCACTGAATGCCAAAACCAAATCAAATAACACGAGCGTTGAAACGTACCAAGTAATTAAAACTATTAAAATACCGTACATTGCGGGAGTAAACTGATAAATTAGCCAGATGTTTGTAAAAACAAAACGTCCGAGTCAGATTTGGCACGGTACATGAAATACAGAAATCAATATCTGGTACAAAATATGTATTACCGAAGCTATCAACAGAAGGTGTGTTCTGGATTAAGTGCACTGGGGTGGCAAATGCTATGTTGGGCAAACAGGACAAATAAGTCAGCACTGAACTAAAAGAACACTAAATAAATATTAAATACCCCCAAATACAACTGTCGGCAGTGGCAGCACACGCGGGCCAACAAGGACACTAAATTGATTTTGATAATGTTGAAGTTCTGTGAAAAATTAGTTACTACTGGCCAATACTAATTAGGGAATCTATTAAAATTGAGAGAAATAAAAATATTTTAACTGTTCGGATAGCTAGACTTAGCGTTGTTTGGAAACAAATGATCAAATAATACATTGTTCAAATGCATGCCTATACAGGTCAGCATACTGCAATAGGGATTACCGTTGAACAATAACTGGTACAGCTATTTTAGTACACACAATCGATAGGTGGAAACAAGACCAATGAACTTGCATAATGCGCAAGAACAATGGACTTGCATAATGCGCATGCATAATGTACGTTTATTGCCATATGAATAACCAAAGCGGCAATGTATACCCATAGTCATTTATATGCCTTCCTTAATCCCCCCCCCCCCACTTCGCACAAGAGGACACAAGTGATGTCATCACATCTACCCCTCTATTTATGTAACTAAACAGGATTTCTCCACAATTCTGGCTGTCGTCTGATGATGCTAGTTGTAATTACTGGCGAAACGTCATACTCAGATTATAAATGTTGTGGCTTTGCTCTCCAACACACCGGTGTGCTGTACTAGTAACAAATTGGCATGTTCTGTTAACGTGACAAACCTTACTAATTGGCTGTCGGGTTTAATGACACATTTATATATTTAGGCGATCTAACCCAAAAAAACCTGTATTAATGAAGATAATGAACTCCTTCATGCCCATGCTTAATGTAATTCGATGATTTACCTTCTAAATAAATCTGGCCATGTCTCGCACCCCCAAAAAACGGAATCTCGCACCAAGGGGGTGCGGTGCGAGATGCCAGGTTTAGGAACCACTGCTCTAGGGGATCCGTGTGGCGGTCAAGGTGGCAGTCATTGGGACCTCGTGCTGTGCCCTGTCGTGCTGCAGCCGCTCCGTGGTCTGGGCGTGTGCCGAGCGCAGCGCTTGGGCTACGTCGTCCTGGCTCGACACTTGCTCCTCCAGCCAGGCGAGCCGCTCACGCAGAGCGGCCTGCTCGCGTTCGTGCTTGTCCGCCACCTCATACAGCTGCTTAATCGCATGGCAATGCAGCGGACACACACGGGACGGGGCTTCATTGAGGACATGTGAGAGTACGGCTTTGAGCTTCTCTTATGTTTAACTGGCTCCTTCCCCGCATTCTGGTCACTTGGCCCAGCGGTTTCACGCACGCGTTAATTTTCTCTGAATCCCCGCTCTCCTCTCTCTCTCTCAAAACCCTGTCCATTGTGGAACTACCACAGCCATCAGTACAATTGAACACTGTGCACCGTTAAAGGCCACGTAAAATCATTCCACAAAGTTCCTGCTGACGGCTAATAATGCATTTTTTTGTGCATTTATTGGGGATTGGGCTGAGAACACTAACTCTGCAACGAGAACCTGGTTCAGTTACAGGTGGGCGTCCAGATTTGAAGTTAGGATGAGTGTCACCTGATCGTGCCTGTCATGGCCTAGGTTTCACAGTGCCAAACAACAAACCTTCCTTGACTATATCTGCGAGTGCAGCTGTTCTATCTACCATTCATTGATGGCTGGAATGTGGATGGTGACCAACGTGGCGGAGGGCATGGCCACCTGCTTGTGCAGCTCTTCATTCTCCCCGATCTTCTTCTGTAGGTCCTCGTTGAACACGCTCTCCCGCGCCGGGAACATGGGGACGGAGGCCACCGGCTCGCCCGCACGCGGCTGAGACAACAAATCATCAATGAGCAGTAGTGACAAAACATCCCGGCCCTCCTTACACACCGATCCCAGCAGCAGCCCAGCAGCCCCCCCACCCCCCCATCATTTAACCATCTCACGCCTTTCTCTCTTCAGCTAAACAAGCACACCAATAACTTAAAAATCATGTTGCCCAAATACCCTTGAGTGCACAGACACCTTTCTTATTATTACAACACCACGTGGCATTGCAATCAGGGGTTGCCCAAAGGTTCGCCGAATCCTGCATGGAGCCCTCCCCACCTCCACTTCTTAGCAGTGCCCGCAATGGGCCCTTCCCCTCTGTGTGTCAGGCCCCAGAGGAGATTTGCCCCCATTTTGTCCCCCCCCCGCCCCCCCATGCACAGTGATGACAACAGTCACTGAATGTAACCGTGTTGTTTGTGCTTCAATCCCAGCTACCCCAAGATAAACATGACGAGAATGGAGAAGGCGAGGTAATCCATCCATAAACATTAATTCAATCCACGTATCATCATCCTACCGTCATCGATTTCACTTTCACCGAATTCACGCATCACAGATTCGTCCCCATTTCTTCCTCCCATCTATTTCATTCACCTCACCTCCACCATTACATTCACACACACGCTGTTGTACCATTCTTTATTCTCTGTAAAGCGCCTCGGTTACTTCCCAAGCCACTGGTGGCAGGCGAGGACTCGGCTGTCTGCTGCCCTCCCTTTGAGAACCCAACGGCTGAGCATGCCGCTTCTTATATATCTGTGAAGTGGCTGGCGTCTTGCATTAATTTTACGTCATTATACACGTGCTTCTAATTAATCTGATAACTGTGCTTCCTTCGCAGAACTAAATCGTGTTGTCCAACGACCATGCACAAATGGCTAATTTCACTAGTCCAAGTGACCAATGGCTAACCACGAAGGTACAGTGAGCATCATCAATCTATTAACAATGTTTTTTTTATCTGTACAGCAATTTGAATGGCATCCTTTGCACGAAATAGTGCTATAGAAATAAAGACTTGATTGATTGATTGAAAGCTGGGCAGCACAACGGCAGAGTGCACGACTCATGATCAGAAAACTGCGAGGCTAAAATTCCAGTTCAGGGGTGACTACCCATCATCTCACCAGATCTGAAAATCACGACAATGTTAAGATGGGGATGATGATGATAATATGACAATGGTGATGGCAATGTGAAGGTAATGAGGATGATGATGATGATGACAATGTGAAGATGATGACTGACTATGTGAAGATGGTGATGATGATGACAATGTGAGTATGGTGATGGCAATGTAAAGATGGTGATGGAGCTGAAACCTTGCTCTTTTTCCCTCGTTTCTCCATGGACTCCAGCTCCCCCTGCAGGAGCTCCACGCGCTTGGCGAGCTGCTGGTTCCTGAATGTCAGACTGTCCATCTCCTGCTCTAGACGCCGCACGCTCTGCTCCCGACCCTTCAGCTGCTCCTGTACCCGCACACGCGTGAAGTTTGTTCTATTTAACCGGGTGAGAAATCTCGTCTTAAATAGATGTATACAGCGCCTCTGTCCAAGGTGCTTTACAATGATTAAATTGTACATCAGATGATAGTGATTAAAATAAAAAGTGGGGTTATTAAAAGTGGTGGTGTAGTTATGGTCACGGTTAGGAGGACAGGTGGGAGTGGTTAAGGAGGGATTGGGGTAGTGGCAGGGTTTGGAGAAGAGGTAGTAATAAGGGTTGGGGTAGTGATAGGGGTTGGGATAGTGCTACGGGGTTGGGGTAGTGATAGGGGCAGTGATAAGGGTAGTGTAGGGGTAGGCTTGATCATAGCTGGGGGGCCGGGGCAGGGAGTAGCAGTAGGACAGGCAAGGGAGAATGGACTGGTCTTAAGGGAGGAGTGGAAGCAGGTCAGTGAAGATTGTTTTCTGTGCAGTGGAAAGCAACCTGGCGCCTCAGAAGCTGTGCAGGCTCTAGGGCACAGCTCCGGCACGACTCAGTTGTGCAGTGGGAAAAAGAGGTATTGTAGTAACATCCTGCCACCGGGGTTGCGCTTCGGAGTGTGGAAGGTCGCTCGCTCGCTCACCTTGAAGACCCCAGATGCCTCCTGCTCATCCACCACGGCCCTCTTCAGCACCTGGTTCTGTGCCCGAAGCTGGAGGCAGAAAAATGAGAATTGTTCTAGGCCATCATAAAATATTTACGGATGATGGACCGCTGTAAATAACTGTGCATGCGGCTTTTCCATCACTGAAATATATACTCACATTTCAAGTTTAAATCTAGTATGTAAGACATTACAACAAACTCTCGATTATCTGTGCTAATGACGGGGAGGACGGCCGCGGATAAATAATAATTGCTGATAATCCAAAATAATATATTTTGCGTGGATCTATATGCCAAAAACCACTGATATAGGTATCAATTACCAATCGATGTCTGTGCTCAGTGATAACACTTTCCTGCTCCTGCGCAGAAGACTCGGCCCACGAAGTGGACAGCAGAGCCATGCCAATCAACATCAATCAAACTCCACCCACTGTTGTAAAGATATTTCAAATACTGTACTGTCGAGGCAGTCACGTGGTTTTCAAATTAACTGAAGCACACATTTGTTCGGTTTAAGAACGTGACTTGTAATAAACATTTACAAGAATAACAATTTATAACTGTTTTCAGATGATTCATTTGGGCTTCAGGGAAAATCAATGATTTATTAATTCACGTCAAAATCTTAGGTGTGTGGTTAATCTGAAAATCGTATAAAAAGCACGCGGATAATGGAGAATCTACCGTATTTGCCATTTATGTATATTATATGCACATTTTATAGGTAGGTTTCCACGACCAATACAGGCAGACATTGCTTAAACACGACCCCGTAGAATGCTGATTCAATACATCGCTTTGTCCTAGTGAACATTTTAATTTAATAAAACATCTACAAAGTGTTTATACGTGAGAACATGCTGCAACGCTGCTCGAGGAAGTGTACACACCCCCATCATTGGCTCAGCCAATGAGTGTGAAGTACACGCTTCACCAACCAGAACACCCCCCTGCCCCCCATGATTCTATTATTCGATGATCACAATTTGAACCTTATGGCGGGACCCCGGGGTCCCATAAGCCCCCGACTCTCGCATAAACTGCATTGCGACGTCATTTTATGTGTGTTGAAGGCGAACGATACGGCAATCTATTCCTCTCGACGAGCTCCACATGATGCGCTAATCAAAGTTTCAAAGTTTTGTTTCTTCTGTGCATTCGTCCTCGCTGCGCTTAGACTACAACAGAATGATCCGCGCCATGTGGGTCGTAGCGTTTATGTGCGCGGGTGGACGGAGTTGCCAAAAAATAATCAATTAATTACTCTTTTAACTTCCGTTTATTCGGGACCCCGGGGTCCTGCCATGAAGGTCATTTGTAGTCGTGATTAAATAAACGGAAAAAAAGATATCGATTTATATATTTTATACCCTTTGGGTCTTTCGGTAAAGTCATGTCGATTAAAAAATAATAGAAAATCACGATCGCAACACAAGCAATCGTTCTCAGGTGATATTTTTTCACCTGAGGACAATTTCTTGTGTTGCGATCGAAACGCCGTGATTTTTTATTATTTACCGAAAGACCCAAAGAGTATGAATTCCTGCAGTCACAAAAGCTTTAAGTCAAGATTTATATATTTTATTAAATGTTATTCCAGTGCGTCGAGTCAGGTGACACCTCATGAGACCAAGATAGAGTATCAGGGTCTACCTAAAAGAAACCTCATCACAGAAATGTAGACTGAGGGCATGACCAAGCACATCACGGTTTTTGTATATAGGCCTTTTTCCAAAATATATTAATGATTTTGCCGATTTAAAAAAATAATAATAATCGATAAATAAATAAAACACTTTCAAAACCGCTACCTCCCACAAGCACCAAGCAGCTGGAGGTTGTAAAAATCAATTAAATAATAAACTCCGGGGTAAAAGGGGGGATACAGCCCCCCCTCCCCTCACACAACCGCCCGCAGGAGATAAGCAATAAAAAGTAATAAACCCCAAACCAAAGAGGAAGGGGGGGGAATTCCTCAAAGCCTCGCAGCTTCCAGGGCGGCGAAAACCGGACAGACAGGTTTTGGGTTATTTTTAATTAACAGAAAGTCCAAGAAAAACTCAACAACAAGAATAAGCTGACATTATAGGAATAATCTCGGGAAACATAAACCAAAATAATAATTCCATATGAACACTAACGTTATTCACCTTAAATTACATTACATCTTGCCGTTACATGACCTTACAAAAACCAAGGAATATGAATTACAACAGTCAAGAAACTTACCTCTAAAACTCAAGACATAAAAAATTAAAGTAAATAATAACTCAAGCATAACAGCACCGATGACCCTTGGAAATGCGTCGTGATGACAATGAATCACAAATCTTTGGAAACAAACCAAATAATATTTGTGCAATATTAAACCGATGGTTGTCCAGAAGAAATGAGGCGAAATAGGTCAAACTTACACAACCAAGATAAACAGTGTTCCATAAGAAAAGAGCCTCCCAACCGTCTCTTTGTCTTCCCGCAGCACGGGATAGCAAAAGAATGACGCCAGAGCGAGGGAAATTACTCTTTATTGCAGGGGCCATCTGTGCATCCACGGATGAAAATATGACTCAATAAATGACACACGCACACACACGGACACACGTACCCCCCCCCCCCCACAATGCAGAGCGAGATCAAAGGAATCCGGTCCTTTGTGAGAGAGCAGACGGAGTAAGCATCTGTTATTTTCCTCTCACAAGAGACGCGCAGAGGGGAGATTTTTCGGATATAAACAGCAACACGACACACACAATTGAGCTCGACAATTCAGCTCGACAAGGGACAGCTCGGCGAGCGACAGAAGAGGGCGGAAAGCAGCAGGCTCCGGCGTGGGCCCCGCAATCAACCGAGAATGGCGAGGCCTGCAGAGTAGTGATGTGTCACCGAGTGTGAGTTCAGAGCTGAAAGACGAAGTATCGCTAAAAGAGTTTTATTCTACATCGAGTGCCAGCTCACAGCAGCAGCTGCAACCCGAGAGAAAGAGTGACGAGCGACGAAAGCAATCGCCCACTGCGGGAGAGCAGGCAGCAGGAGAGAGCGCGCAACCAGCGCAACCAGCTCCACCAAGCAACGGTGCCAGCTGACAGCAGACAAGCGTTGTGCCGACTCGGCTCATCCAGCAGGGAAAAAGAGCCTGACCAGCCGCCCGTGAGCAAGAGTGTCAGCGGACCAGCGGCGAGCGCGATCGAGCATCTTCAAGGACAAGCAATGTGCCGACGCAGCTACTCCAGCAGTGGAAAGAGCCTGTATCTGCCAGCGGACGGGCAGCTAAGCCGACGCCCCGAGCAAGAAAAAGCAACGAAGCCATTTGTATGACCCTCACCCACACCCTCATGACGCATCGCCCGGCGTCTGCTTTACGCAAAGTATTGAACAAGTGGCAAAGAAGACACACAACACGCATATCCGGACAAATAAGATTGTTCCAAAAAGTATCTTTGTGTTTCAAGAAGGGTTGCCATTCCAAGGTGGTGCATTAAATATCAACCGATCGTGAAGAACATTGCTGCCCATTGAGTTACATGGATACGGTCATTTAGAAGTATTTTAGTCGTTTTTTTCTTTTTAATTGCATAATCTTACAAACGAATTAATTGATAACTACTCTTGCCTTCGGGACATGTTTCTTTATTGCCTTTCATATGAATATGGTTGCATACATTTTTAATGACTTTTCCTCTCGCCGTGTATGCTCGCGTACTCTGAGGAATAATCGATTGTACTGTTACCCAGTTAACAAACGTTATCATTAAAGGTTAAATGTATGGATCAATGAGGGGAACATTTCCTGGAGTACTGTGTTGACAATTTCAAGCATGAGAATTCGCATATTAGAGTGTTAAGGTTTTGTTTAGAAATTTAAATTGCTTAACACAGAAGTGTTTGAGTGTTTCTTTCCTGAGTTCATGCGTAATAATCTTAATTATAAGAACTGTATCCTGCGGTGAGATTTGAATTTGGAGACCTGACATAAACACACTAATACATAATCAGTAAATGTTAAAGCGAGAATAATTGTATTATACCGATCGATAATACGAACCCTAGACAACGAAGCAAAGTTTAATCCAGCATACTTACAGCACACTTGCATAACTTCATACAATTCGTTGTCTTATCCTGATTGATGATATGACCCTCGTCAGCGAGACAGGGATTAATTATCATAACGGCATACATTAGCATAATCGCACACATTCACATACATTAATAAGATTAGGATAATTTATTACATAAATTAGCATAATCTAGGATAATTATGCGTTTTTTTAAATTTCATTTACATTTTATTATTTTCATCAATTTTTCATACCCGGCATATACAACAACGGACATCCTGGAGCTCTTCTCTGAAAATGAGGTGGATTGGGAGCGCAGCACCAGCTCTTACAACGCCCTCTCTGTTGTATATGAGCCTTTTCCAAAATTGATATTAACAATAATATTTGCCGTTATATATATGTATTTTTTAACAAACGAAAAAAATAATCAATAAAACCCGTAAGCCAGGCACACGAAAAACCAGATGTCGGTCATAAACAGGCCATTAATAAATAAAGAAATAATACAACTCTCAAGGCGAGGATGTTAGCAGCTATCTGCGAAGATCTCCAGATGAACAAGAGTTTAATGTGCCCTAAAGGAGGTCACGCAGAGGGAAGTCCTCCGCAAGCCAGAAATGAGGACGCCCACGGGTTAAACCATTTTTTTTATTAAAACAACGGTTAAAATTTTAAATGCAATAACAAGAATAAGCTAAAGTTAGCGGTCCTCGCGCTCACTCCAATTAAGACCAGGCCACCAGATACATCAGTGAATTATTATCCAATAATTAATTCGCTATCAAATGATTTTCACCTTTAATACTTTTACTGTTAAAACAAAGCTTGGAGACAAAATACAGAGTCACATCAAAGGTTTTCGAGAAGGAATGAGACAACGGGCAAACTTACGAAAGAGTTTAAACAATATTCCAAGCAACCCCGACCACCTTTGTCTCTCTCACAGCGCGGAGAAGCAGGAATTACACCTTATCACAAGGGG